CAGAGGTCTGGCATGCCAATGCCTGATTCCTCAGTTCACCTTACACCCCTGTTCAGGTATGTGCTCCTGACCCCCTTAAGCTCTTAATTAAAAAACTTTAAAGTTTAAAATTCGCTTATTCCGCGTGTTTTTTCGCTTGATCTTACTCTTAAGTGTTCTTAAAACACATTCCCATTGTTTTCGGACGGTTTTTGGTCGGAAATAGGGGTTCATTTTGCGTTTTTTCGTTCGCGGACTTCGTTCGCGAGTTGCTCGTAACGATCGATTTTGACGTCAAACGCGATTAAAAATGAAAAAACTAAATGGTTCGTTCGGTTTCAGGTAGTGAAAGGAAGATCTCCTGCAATTTTCGGCAAGTTTCACTGTTCGGTTTGCGAGTTTTGGACGAAAAGGTAATTCCCCATAGACTCTTTAACAAAATTGGATCAGATCTGATCCAAGTGCATCTTTTGAAATTTTTCAGTTTTCAATTGAGAATGGCGGGTTTTGCGATGTCCGTGCTGTTGGTGCTGTTGGTGGTGCATCCTGATGCGTCATCCGGCAGGTGTGACTTATTCCGCGTGTTTTTTCGCTTGATCTTACTCTTAAGTGTTCTTAAAACACATTCCCATTGTTTTCGGACGGTTTTCGGTCGGAAATAGGGGTTAATTTCGCGTTTTTTTGTTCGCGGATTTCGTTCGCGAGATGCTCGTAACGATCGATTTTTGCACGAAACGCGGTCCGAAATGAAAAAACTAAATGGTTCGTTCGGTTCCAGGTTGTGTGAGGAAGATCTCCTGTAATTTTCGGCAAGTTTCACCATTCGGTTCGCGAGTTTCAAACAAAAAGGTAACTCCCCATAGGCTCTTTAACAAAATCGGATCAGATCTGATCCAAGTGCATCTTTTGAAATGTTCAGTTTTTATCAAGAATGGCAAGTTTCGCGGTGTCCGTGTTGTTGGTGCTGCTGGTGGTGCATCCTGATGCGTCATCCGGCAGGTGTCACGTCCAAGATGGCCGCCTTCATTGCTCTGAGGCGTGCGACGCGGACGCGGTTCGCGCTTCCGAGTTCGACGGGAGGATCGTCCTGACGGGTCACGTTCTGGACTTTGGGTGTCTGGACTTCTTCGGGATCAAGGTTGGTTGAAGGAAAACTGGTTTGAGGGTGTGAGTTTTCAGACTTCATGATTTTTTCAGAAGGTAGAATTGCTGAGTCCCACTAGATGTGAGGGCAATTTTCGTCCGTCGTTGGTGGATCCGGTGGATTTTTGTGTGACCGGACGGGTTACGGTGGATCTTCAAACTTCTTCACCATATTTGGCATCCGTCCCGAGCTCTTCGACGAGAATTCCGGTGGCTCCGGAGAGACCGGTGATCCTGACGACGGCTATTTTTCCTACTTCCTTGTCGACGGAGGCGACATCTGCCGTCACTCGTGGTGGTGTCGTGAATCCACAAGATTCTAGCACGGATTCATCCGTGAGTGTTCGATTGCTGACGACGCATATTGTTCCTGAAACGACAAAACAAACTACGCCGGCTCCTAGTAAGGACTTTTCGTTAGAGGTTTTCCAATGGGTATTAAACAAAGTGCTCTGTTTCTTAGCGACAAGCAAGCCTTCTATCATCGTTTCGGTGCTGAAAAATCTTCCGGAAACCCGAATTCACTCTGGAGAACATGCCAACGTCACATTAATGGTAGTGGAGGGAAAAGCGGTCTTGGACGCGGAATTCGCTACCAAACTCTTTTCTAATTGGGCCATTGGGCTAATTAGTGGTCTTGGCGTGACGGTATTTGGTTTGGCTGCTGGGTGGATGGCCTGGTGTTTGAGAAAAAAGGTAATTTGTTGCCTTCTTACGCATCTTTGTTACCTTTTAAACACCTCATTGCATGATGTTGTCCTTTTAACCAACCTTTAACTACTAACAGTATTGCCCAAATCTTTGTCAACGTCAAGTTTCAACCAAATCTAAACAAGGCACTGAAGAAATCAAAATGAAAGATTTATCTCTTGGACCTGTAGTAGTGCGTGAGACTACTGTTAACGAGATTCATGATGGATTTGCAACTATTAGATCACGCATACCTCGCATGACGACCTTCAAACCTAGTAAGACTTAACTGCGAGAAAAAGGAACCTTTCCTGCATGATAGCATGTCTCCTTGGGTGTTTCCTTTTGTTCTTTTTCTCCAGCCTTGGCTGCTGTCGTACCTGAGGAGGGCAGAAGAGATATGGCGAATCCTGACGCCACCGAC